ATAGCCAAACTCAATCAATTAGATGTCCTTTTAGCAATTTATTATAATAAAAAATAAATTTTTATTATAATACAATATAATAAAACTTATTATAATAAAATATTTATATATAATATAAATAAAAAACCAGTCACCAAAAGTGAGTTGGGCAACCATATAAATTTTATAAATAAATAAATAAATATTTGCCAGATGCAGAAATGATGGAGAATTTCTTCTAACCTTATTTCCTAATGTTTATCATATGTCTGTATATTTATTAAACTATCTGATTGTCATTTAACTCTTTGAATAAATCTGAGCCTTTGAATGAATCACTGAGAGACTGCAAAATCAGGATACAGTAGATAATTGAGACTACCTTGTTTACGATAAAAAGGATTTTACTATCAGTGGTGGCACAGTGGTTCGAATACAGTACTGCAGGCCACTTCTGTTGACTGCCAGCTGCCAGCAGTTCAACAGTTGGAGTCTTCCTGACTCAAGGGCAACTCAGCCTTCCATCCTTCCGAGGTGGGTAAAATGAGGACCCAGATTGTTGAGACTCTGTAAAACCACTTAGAGAGGGCTATAAAATACTATGAAGAGGTATATAAGCCTAAGTTCTATTGCTATTTTCCTGGCCTGAAAAGGAATGAATGGAGCTTTAAACCACTGAGGCAGTAACCTTTGAGGCAAGAGATTATTGAAACTGCAAGAGCTTGTGAGCATATAGGAAGAAGAGAAGGAATCGGTGTTTTATTAACAGAACAATTCTAAACTGAGAAACTATGATGTGGTGGATAATCTACCCATTTTGCAAAGCCCTTGATCCTAGAGTGCTGCAGGGGCTTCACCTGCAAAGAATCTTTTTGTTTATATTAAATTTCTCACTGAAATTAATGTGATGAAAATTAACTTAATTTGGGACATTCCAAATCAAGAGGCCAGTAGGAAAAATGTTGTTTGCACCAACCAACCTGCACTTTTTTATACAAATGTAAAGTCCCGGAGTTACTATGTAGTTTATTATTAAAATACTTCATAGTTTGATCCTAAAATAAGTGCACGTATAGTAGAATTTTAGGTAAGAGATTATCACAGAAGCCTGCATTTTCCTTCAGTATTTCACAGGCTGCTCTTTGTTAATCTATGCTCACAATACTGAAGATAAACACTACGGGTTTCTCTATACTATATCACTATAGAATACTTTGTCTTAGGGTGGCACATAATAGTTACCATATTTTTTGGAGTGTAAGACGCACCTTTTTCCCTCAAAAAAGAGGGTGAAAATCTGGTGAATTTATACACTGAATACAGCATTTTTGGCCTACAGAAACCCCGCGCCCTTTGCAAAAATGGACGTGCAAAGGGTTTTGGAGGCTTGCATAGTGCTCCTGAGGGCTGGGGAGGGCTGGTTTTTTTTTTTTGCTCTTTTGGGGGGGAGTACCCAGGAGCACTCTACAATCCTCCCAAAGCTCTGAATGCCCTTTTGAGGGTTTTTTTTTTTTTTTTGCAAAAAATGAGGCATGCAGAGGGTTTGGGAGGCCTACGGAGTGCAAAAAATTATTTTTTAATTTACCTTTTCAAAATCATGCTGCGTCTTATACTCAGGTGCATCTTATAATCCGAAAAATACAATCTATGCAGACGTAAGGGTGTTAGACTGAGAAGTCATGGAATCAAAATCTGGATTCATGTATGCAACTTAAAAAAAAGTATATTTATTCATTCTGTACATTCAAATGCTATAGTCTATTGCAGGGGTGTAAAACTCGATTTCATTGAGGTCCGCATCAGGCTTGTTTGACCTTGGGGGGCTGAGGTTGGCCTGAGCGCCAGGGGTGAAATGCAGCAGGTTCTGACAAGTTCTGGAGAACCAGTAGCGGAAATTTTGAGCAGTTAGGAGAATTGGCAAATACAACCTCTGGCTGATCCCCGAGTGAGGTGAAAGTGGAGATTTTGCAATATCCTTCCCCTGCCACATCCACCAACCCACGTCGACAGAACCAGTAGTAAAAAAAATTGAATTTCACCACTGCCAAGCCTTCTGACAACAAAAATGGGTTCCCTAGCTCCATTTTCAGCTGCAACAGTCTCATGCAACACTCTGCCAATGAAGACAGAGCTCGGGAGAGCTACGGGAGATCCTACCGAGCTCCATTTTTGCTGGCAGAAGCACTGTAGGCTGGTCCTTTGCTGTTTCCAGGGTGGCGCCACGGGCCAGATCTAAGCACCCCATGGGCAGGATCAGGCTCCCGGGCCTTGAGTGTGTCAAACTCAAGTGTGTCAAATGCTGGTCTATTACCTTTCTATAGCACCAGCAAATTCATAGAAAAATCCAAATTCCGTACTAGACTTTATCTCAATTCTTTTGAACTTAGGTCCAAAGAAAGCTGCAGAATACCCTTTAAAGAAAGGTTTAAATAAAAGATCCATTTCTCAATCTATGTGTATCTAAAATACTTTTTTTAATCTTGCATAAATTCACAAATAAATACAATATTGTAAATGTATTTTAAACATATTATACACTCATGTCAGTTAAATGTTTTACATCAAGGCATAGCACACCGCCTCTTACACATATATACCTTGAAAGGCAGCAATTTAGTGTAATCCCCGAGATTTGGCAAAACAGTATTGCCAAGATAAATAATATGGATCAATTTCACAGGTATGCTACAAGATAAATAAATAAATAGATGCTATCACATTTTATTTGAAATAGAATCGCTTATCAAAAGAATATACAATAATTGAATAATTATTTGATATAGATATAGATATATTATATAACCTAAGTTAATTTAACTTTAAAACAAAACATTTCTTCAATAGTGGAAGGATGCGAAAATGAATAATTTATTCAGCCATACTGAATGATGAAAAGAAGTTGCTTTCAAGACAAATTAAAAGGTGTTCGTTGCTCGGTTTCATGGCATCTGAAAAACACAAACAAATCCACGCTTAAAGATGCATTTTTCTTTTCTTTGCAATTATCAGGTCATTAGATTTATGGCACTCTTCTTTATATTCCAGAGTTAAAATAGGACAATCCACTGAATAAAGAAAAGCTGGATCAGCTTGTTATGGGGTAAGGATGGTATAGGTTTTGCAAAGTTAATATGTTTTAAAGAAGTTTTTAAAAGGTCAGAAATTAATGTTTGGCTCTATTCCCTATAAGCAGTTTCTCTTAAGAAGGCATCTTCCCAAACAATATAATTGGGCAGTTATAGTAGATAGGACTGCATAATTACAAAAGATTTTCCACATTTAAGTGAGACTATTTCAGTCTTGCAGTCTGAATGGTCATAGAACAGACCAAATGCAGATATCTACCAAAGCAAGTGGGCTCACTTCTACCAAATTTGACAAAGAGGACATCTCATCCCACTTCTGCAGTTCCCACCACTGCATTACAGCTTCCTTCACGTCCACCATGCTCTTTGCTCCACCTGGGCTTAAAACGGGAATGAAGTGACAGCTTCTCAAAAATCATTTCTGCACTCAAGAGCTCAGAGGAAAAAAAAAAGGAAATGCCTCTATAAACAAAACATCCTAATTGCTGAAGTTGCATAAGCCATTTGCTAAATTTTTAAAACGGCAATAAAATTAATGCGGGGACTAGAAATCAAATTACAAAATGGCAGCGTTACAAGGCTGCATACATGTTTAAGCTATGCAAGCGAAAGATCTCCTATCAAAATAATGCTAGTTTAGGAGTGACATATTTACCAATACAATATTCATTCTTTTTTCCAAGTGGAAAAAAAAAAACATTTGGATTCCAATCCCAAATCCAATTATAAGGAAGAAAGCCTAGTCCAACAATGAATAGCTGGTTTTCATAACCCTCATTTTCAATTATTTAAAAGGAGTAATTCCACTCTGGTAATACCACTAAAAGAGCTTTCCCTATGCCAGAGCTCATGTAAATTGGATTTCAGTGCTCAGAAATGAAATTATGGAGTTGAGGTTCAGTATACCGAGAGGACATGGGTTCAGAAAGTCTAAAGTTCAGAACTAAAGATTATTATTTATTTTTTTTAAAAAAAATCTCATTACTCTTTTCTCTCTACACTAAATATCCTTCTAAGACTTTACACATTCACCTAGGAAATAGAATTCCAATAACATTTAACACTTACCATATCCCAGAAATCATTCAGCAGATTAGATGTGTATGTTTCTTTTTCGCCTACCAAAAGCATGGGCTCCCACATTGGTAGGTACAAATGTGCTCTTTCCCACACCTCCTGATCTGTTCAGGAAATCTGCCAAACGATGGGTCACACAAGTCGACGTGTTACACGCTCTCTTTTGTGTTGTGGTGCTGTTTTTTGTTGTTGTTTTTTTCAAAAAAAAGAAAGAGATTGGAATTAAGATCTTGGATGCAAGCTTCTGATTTGAACCTCACTTTATTTTATCAAAGAAAGCATGATGCTGCCTGCTGTTTAATCCTGGTTTTCCCTCAACCTCTTGTTGGCAAAATCTCAAGAATGCCAACCTTTAGGAGGAGGAGCAATTTCATGTGATGGTGAATGGAAAAGTCTTTGGAAGGGTCCTTGGAGCCTGTGTTTGATTGGGTTTTTTTGCAGACGTTTCATTACCAAACTAGGTAACATCATCAAGTGCTAATCGTAGAAAAGACTTGCTGTATTTTTCGGAGTATAAGACGCACCTTTCCCCCACCACCACCACCAAAAGAGCATGGAAATGTTGGTGCATCTTATACACCGAATACAGCCATTTTTTGCTTCCTGAAGCCCTCCCCCATCTCATTTTTGTGAAAAACGAGGTGTTTTTGCAAAAATGGGAGCGTTTTTGCCTTTCCCCAGCTCCCATGAGCACTCTGCAGGCTTCAGTAGGGCTGGGGGGAGGCAAAAACACCTCCATTTTTGCAGAAAACGCCCCATTTTTCACAAAAACTGTGGTCTTTTTGCCTTCCCCCAGCCCTGCTGAAGCCTGCAGAGTGCTCCTGGGGGCCAGGGAGAACAAACACTTTTTTTTTTCTTACTTACATCTTCAAAATCTTGATGCATGTTATACAACGGTACGTCTTATAGTCCGAAAAATACAGTACACTCTTTTAACATACCCCAGAGTATAGAAAAACCAAATCATTGCACATTCTTCCCCAACCTAGCAAAATCCAGAACTGTGGGGAGGACACCTTTTCTAAGAGGGACCAAACACTGGATTTCCAAGGATCACAGTCCTGTAGCATCATGGCTGGCCAAGGCCACTGCATATGAGGACTGTTGCCTTTATCTCCTGGTCTACATTTCCTCATAGAATGCCATGTCTGGGTATATAAACTATCAGGATGGTCTAAAAGATATGTGATATATTTATCTGCTATCAGATTAACCGTGTGTGTGATCCAATTTTGTTTTTCTGTTGCTCATCTCTGACAAAACCCAGGCTTTTAAAATCTCATCCATTTGAATGCTTAAATTAGCCTACATTGTTCCCACAATGAATAGAATTCAATGTTTCAATTACAGGCAATTTTGGATTCTCTTGCCTTAAATTATCTTCAGGCTGACAAGTCAATCAAAATAAGTAACTTCTTCATGAACAAATACATACATAGAAATATAAGATTGAAATTCTTACCTGGAAGAAGTCAAACAGAATAAAACTTTTTATAACTGAACAACATTGTTCACATTTGGAAATCAGTTGTTGTGTTTCCACACTTCTGAACAGATTTGTAAAGCTCATACTACCAAACTCAGTGTGAATCTTTTCACTTACTTCATTGTATGAAAGTTATCACCTTATGGATTCATCCAATACTAATCAGATATGTAGCTCTTTCAAAATATTAATTAAGAAAAAAATGCAAACATCCATGCTGACCTCCTTATAGCGTGATAAACACTCTTCGAATTTTGTTTCAAACCCATTTTAAAAATGGTATAAATAATTTGTAATCAGAACATAGACCTATTCCTTATAGAAAAATAGGTTTATTGAACAGTTGCATGATTGGACATGAAAGAAACATTTATTTATTTCATTTTTTTTACAATGAGTAGCCTCAAATAAAAAAAATGATGCTTCCTTATTATTCATAAAATAAGAATCTAAAAAAATCAGTGGAAAATTCAAGGCAATGTTTTATTCTGATCTACTCTTAATTTGGTTTCTGCTTTTCCCCAGCTCCCTACAACTCTGTGTGTGTGTGGGTGTGTGCGTGCGTGCGCGCGCGGGGGGAGGGGGGCGCATTTTGTCCTTAAATTTCCTAACTTGGACTTTGCTCTACTACTCCAAGCATTTCAGATCTAAAAGAACACAGCAAAGTTAGCAGTGAAGGTTAGATCCACATCATGCATCAAGTGAAATAAAAGAAGGAAAACAAAAGAGGGGGGGAAAATAAAACCAAAAAGGAATCTGAGCCCATCTAGTTGCTTCCGAGGGCTTCCTCAGTAGTTTGCATAGCGTTCATTTTCCAGCTCACTCAACACATTCCTTTTCTTGCCAGGCGTCCCAGCCCCGACGTCAGTGCGAGGGTACGTTTGCAACTTGTGCAATTCTTGAGACAGTTTGCCCAGCACACAAGTGCTCAGGTTGGCACAACGTTTGGCAATGGGTCTATCCAAGCTGCAAAGGGGGAAAAACATGCCGAACAAAGTAACCGGGAGAGGGAGAAAAAGGAAAGCAAGAAGAAAACACGTGCGTCGTCATGCCTTATCCCCTCCCACTTCCCCGCGTCCCACCCCAACCCCCCACCCCCTCAAAAAAGAACTCCTCCCGAGCCTTTTATTCAATACAAGCTCATTTCGATGCCGTGCCTTGAGGCGCAAGCCCCATGCAATGTCAATCCGAAGAACCATCGGAGCAGCGGGTAGGAGGCGCAAGTGAGCCATTGCCCGGTCAAGCAAACGAGTTAGAGGGGGGTAATGGGGGGCGTTGTGACTGTTAGCAATTCCGGGGGTGGGGAGGGCATTGCATGCGTCGCTGGGGCTCAACCATTCCTCATGCTTCACCAGGGGAGTTCAGTAGGAAACCGCAGGTGCAATTGGAAGCCTGGGCTGGTTAGGGAAGGGGGCGCTACGTGCAAAGAACCGCTTTCCTTCTCCAAGTCAAAAGGCCTTCACGCTCTCTGTTGCCTGTCTCTCTCTCTCTCTCTCTGCCTCTCTCTGCCTCTCTCTCTCTGTCTCTTTGTCTGTCTGTCTGTTTCTCTCTCTCTCTTCCCCCCCTGTCTGTCAGTCGTCTCTCTCCCTCCCTCCCTCCCTCCCTCCCCCACGGGCACTAAGTCTGAGTTCGGCGGGCTCGGTTCTTAAGGAAGCGGGAGTGGGGAGGTGGGGTGGCGGGACAAAAGGGAACACATCCAAGACCTACCTTCTTGCTCTCCCATTTTATCAACATCCCTCCTCTTTGCACTTCAAAGCCTTCCTTGTGCATGTGTCTGCATATACGTGTGTGTGTGTACATAGATACGTAAGTATTGCATATCCATGGTCAGCCAATGGATAAATGGATATACTTCAGTAAAGTTGGCGAGCAAAATGAGCGGGTGAAGCGAGGCCCACCACTCGGATAGCCTGCCCCAGGTGGTTGCAAGGCGCCCGCCCGGTCAGATATCGAGGAAGGGCATCCTCGAGAAGCAAACGATGCCCACCTGCTTCGATGCCCACCACGGAGGCGCTCGCAGGTACACCGCCCCCCCCCCAGCTTGGCGTCCGAGAGGGAGACGTGGAAAGAAGGCAACGGTGTTTTGGAAGCTCCTTACCTACTGCCTTCGCTGCCCTGATCCGGGTCTTCCGCGGTCATCTGGACGTATTCCTTCACCAGGGCGTTGAGTAACCTCCGAGCTTCGTAGTCTCCCAGGGCGCCTCGGTCGGTGACGGGCTCGAAGCCCCCTCTGCATGAAGACAAGTGCGCCCTGAAAGCCGCCGCTTTCCTGGGAGCAGCGCTTCTCCTTTCCCCCAGGCAGCCTGGGTGGGATCAGGGGCGGGAGGGAGCGGCTTTTCCAGCCAGCGCCCGCCAGCCATCCCTCCTCTTCTCCCGGGGTTGGCGTGGAGTGCGACTCGCCTCTCTCCCAACCAAGACTGGGGAGAAGGGGGGTTACGAATACTGCTTCCCGGTGTATCTTGAGGGGCTTCGGAAAGGGGAAGGCTGGCCGAGCCCTCCGTTTGCTTGGCTAGGGGAAGAAAATCACAAGGCGGCCAACGGATTGTGCTTTTGCTTGCTTTCTGCTTACATGCTTGCGCAATTTCTACTCCGCTTTCTACTTTCGGCCTCGCCGCCCTGGAGGCGAGGCAAGTCGCCATCGAGCTGATGCTTTTGCAATTAAAAATTAAGCCGGGGAGTACCAATGCTCTAAAAGCAGGTTGGTAATCCGGCCGAATGGTCCCCACACGGAGCCAAATCAGCGCCTGCCGAGCGCCCTAAACCCTTCTTCTTTTGCCCTCTCCTAACCAAGCGCCTTCCCGTCGGAGGACTTGCTTCGCTCCGCGCCCCCGCCGGGAGGGAACTTGGAGACTCTCCTCCCGAGAGCCTGCAGGTAAGTCCGCTGTCAGCCGCTTCTTACCTGAGCGGGATGGCCTGGCCGTTCTCCATCTGGCAGGCCACCAAAGCGTAAACGGCGAGGAGTGAGGAGATCTTCAGCACAGCCATGGTCTCTTCTCTCTCTCTCTGCAAGAAAGGCTCAGTTTCAACTGAGGAGCCACTTTGCAGCCTCTGCGGGCCTGCCTGTTTCCCCACTGCCTATTTAGGATGCGACCCCATCGGCCAGCATCCCAAAAGACGCGAATAGGATTCCCTTCTGAAGGAGAAAGCATATGGCTGGCTGTGGTAAATCCAAGAAACAGCGAGCATCCTTCCCGGGCAAAATGTTATGCATAGGACCAGGCTGGCCTAAAGTGGGGATTCTCTGAGGGTAATAAATTAATCCGTTAATTATGCGTGTAAAGTATTTGCAGAGGATTTACCGGTCTTTTAATATCCACTTAGGAATTCTGAGGGCTTCGGCAGCGTTCTATCTATATGGACTATGGGAACTGGGCAGAAGCAACTCAGAACATCGGTGCCAAAAGAGGAGAACCAAAAATAGAACCTTTCTTAAAGAAAACTAGTCAAAGTGGCGAAATTAAACGAGAGATGCCTCGTTTTGAAGCAAAAATAAAAAGAACAGCTAAAACAAGTGGACCTCTGAAAACGTGGTAAGGCAGTGCTGTAAAATCGGAGTTTGACTCATTTATATACTGGGAAATAAATATATTATTTATTTTGTAAAATACAGAAATAATCGTGCACACAATTATAAGCTGTTTTTCCACATATGATTTCTTTCTCCCCTTCCCCTTCGGGTCAAGCATTTTCATATAGTCAACCTTTTAAAAATGTTGACTATATAGCATTTCCATAAATATGTATTTCCGACACTCTTGAATTTTCCTATGTCCAGCCTTTTTGACAGTGCATCCCTGACCTCAAAGCCTCTGTATAAGCCTAACATACAGACACTCCCAGAGGTTCATCTTAAATTCTTCCTCATTTAGATTTTTCTCTTGCAAAGAAATCTATAAGGAAGTTCCGGATGCTATGAGATACTACTGTCTCAGGGAGAGGGGAATGGGGGGCATGGAGACAGAAGGATGCTTTAAAGGGTATTTTAAATTAATATATATATTACCTTGATTAGACCAATCTTTAAGATAACTCTTGGTTTAAAAAAAAAAAAAGAGGTAAGTCACACATTGAAATTAAATGCATCTTTAAGGAGTTTTCTCCAGCAAAATAAAAGCTGTCTTTTTTTGCAAAGAAATTTTGCTTAAAATTTGCAGGATGAACCCTTTCCTCTTATTCACTAACATCTTCAATTGCTAATTCTTATTTTTAAAAAATCCAGAAAGGATTAATTATGCTGTCTATTCCAAAAACCAGACAAGAAGACTAGCATCCTTGAAATGTAAAACTCAGGAATACAGGACACTCACAGCTTTCAAGCTGCTGCGACACTCTCTACAGATCTGGGAGTAAATCATCCTGGATTCAATAAGACATTAAAGAAAGCATGGCCAGGATTTCTGCTCCTGGAGTTGTATGATTGCTGTGAGGTTGCTGTAGTAAAGAAGGGCTTACCTTCAAATGTGAGCCTTCTTAAGGAAGAGTGAAACTTAGTGGAGGTTTCCTCGGTGTGATTTTCAGAGTTGTGGTGGTCTTCAATGGTCAACGACCCCTTTTTATACATATCACCAGGACAGAAATGTGTAGGCGTTCAACGAACACTGACTCGCCAATCAGCATCTCCTTTATCACTATAAAACCAATCCACGACTGACCACAAAACTCCCAACTCCCGAATTACGTCATTCCCAGTCACTGGGTATTCCATTCACAAAAAAATTGCCAGTCATTTAGACACATCCGATAGGTTTATTTGCATTTAGGTCACTGAATGACTGGGGGTGGGGGGGAGATGGGGGGGCAGGAAGAGGCATAGAAAACGATTAATGAAGTGTAAGGGAGATCGCCCCAAGTGATTAATAATATTTAGACCTCCCCCATTGTCTTTTATCCCTCCAAGATCTCCCGAATCTTTTTTAATGAATAAACTCAAAAGAGCAGGATATTTACTTATTAGAGGCGACATCTACTGCAAAAAGTGCTGCATTGCAGAAAAAAAGAACTTTGGTTGGCATACATGCTTTCTCAACTTTGCATCTTAGCTTTGGCCCTAGCAGTGCAAGGCGACAATCCCTTTTTGAACCTTAATTATTGGTTTCAGAGTCAGAGAGACGCACTATCTCCTCTCCGCACAGAGTGCACTATCTCCTCTCCGCACAGAGTCTTGGGGGTGGGGGTTAATATTAAATTCAGGTGCCTTTACTATGCTGGGTAGCTTAAACTTTCTCCTAATTAGTCAGAGTTGGGACTAATAGAATGCAATGCCCAGGTAAGGATGCTTAAGGTTCCTACTACCATCGTGGCATGGAGGACAAGGGGTGATGTCTGTTTAGAAGAGCCTGGCCAATCACATCTCCTTCCGATGTGTCAGATCACAGACTCCCAACAATTCCAGCCAAAATGAACCAGGATGGGAACCAGCATGATATGTGAAAGCCCTGGGCTGGGAAAAGCTGGTTTGCGGTGAGAGTTGCTGAAAGAATCGGCTCTGTCTGGCAGGTGTCCCTTCTCCAGTTTCGAAATCTAACTTATCTTTTTTTTAAAAACCCAAAAGACAGCTAGCCCGACAGCAACTCCTTTTGGAAATAGGGAAGGTTTCAGCGAGGACTGACCGAGTTAAGGAGACGTAGGCTCGGGCTTGCCTGGACACATTTTGTTACGAGGCTTCATTTGCTAACACTGGGTTTTGGAGGCAGTGCAGAAGGCTGGGTGGCTCGAGAATTTCCGCACTTGGACCTAGAGACGGTCCCTTGCAAAGCGTGCGGATAAGTGGGAGCGGCTTAATTCAGCTCAGCGGAATTGTCCGCTCCTCATTTAACCCCTTGCCGCAGAGAAAGCAGCGCCTTCTCAAGCCTATTCAAGCGGATGCCTGGGCTCGACGTTGTGTGCAAACGCGTCCAAACACCCAACGCGGAAAATCGAAACCGTGGGTTTCGTAACCCCCGTTCAGTCGATCCCTTTGGAGGACTTGGGTTCAAAATCACCAACACCCAAAGTGCTTCCAGGCCTCCACGGACATCCCTCCGCACAGCACCCGTCAGATCGGGAGACCGACACACCGGGAAGGCAACGCAGGAGAAATAAATGCGCAATTGATGACTTCTTTCCTGACAGTAAATATTTGTTTGAGATCCGGCCACAACCAAACGGCAACAGGAGGGGGACAAGGAGATGAAAAGCAAAAGCTTATTTTTAAAGTCACCCCATTCCTAAGTGGTCAGTAGGGGCGTGCATAAGCGTGCCTAACGTCCCTGTCCTAATGTCCCCATTTATTTGTACCCATTTCCTAAGTTCTTATTCATGTTTATTCATATTCCTGTTATCTTGTACATGAGTGATAAAATGGTTNAGACAGACAGACAGACAGACAGACAGACCAGACAAAAGCAATCTCCCCAACTAGGTGCCCTCAAGATATATCGGATTGCCTTCATCCACTCACCCCTAAAGTTTACAATCCTTGTGGCCAGGGGGAATTACAGAGATAATCCAAAATATGTTAATATGAGTATTAATTGCTTCAATGATGTATCCAAAATAGTGTTAATATGAGTATTAATTGCTTCAATGATGTATTGATTTTTTTGGGGGGGGGGGATAAGGCGCCAAGAGTCACCTAATACAAAAATAAATGAAATATCTCAAACGTGCCGGGTTGGAGGAAAGGCTACTGTAACCCATCAAGAAATGCCCCGACGTTTCTTGCCAAGTCTTCTCAAAGCGCCCCAAAGCCAGGATTCCGATTCTTTTCCAGCAAGGTTGATTTTTGGACCCATCCTTGCTTTGGGAGGGAAGCTATTCAGCATGCTCTATTTTTTGAAAGGCTTGTCTGGAGGAGAGGGGGACCCATTCTCAACCGATTCAACGGGGTAGCCTCAACCCGTCGTCTCATGATGATGGAGGGCAAAACGGAGAGCGAAGTATACCTTCATCCTAGCTGGGAAAGTGACAGAAGAATCCTGGTGCTCCCGCAGGAGATTGATTGGGGGCTTTCCCCGTCCCACCTGTCTAAAGCTCTGGAATTGGGAGAGCCTGGACAGTCACGGCTGCATGTCTGGGATTGAGTGTAATTCACTTCTCGGTGCCAAGCGCCACGGCTGAATCGATTGTCTTAATGGGGAATTGCATTGGCAAGGGCTGGGCTGGGCTGGGCTAGGCAGCAGAGTACGTTCGCTCTTCCTCTCGCTCTCTCTTGGAGTCTCTGCTACAGGAGTCCCGAGCAGGTTCTTCCCCTGCCCTCCGGCCGGCCCCTCCCAATCTGCCCTCCCCACCACTTCCCCTCTTTTGTTCCTGGTTGAAGTGGTCGCGTTCTACCAGGCAGGTCTCCAGCTGCTTCGCTAAGTCCCTGGCATTCGGAACGAAAAGGACAACATCCGCCGAGGAGGTGGAAAAACCTCTCGTGGAGAGCTACAAGGGCCCAATCCATCACTCTTTAAAGGGCTCTTAGTCATTGTCTAGCAGCTACGGAGTCGTGACTGGCGCTCGGACACCTGCTCCATCCAGGATGTGTGGATTTGCTATCCGCGCTGGTTATAAGAGAGTACCTTCGGGCTCCCGCCAGAACAAAAAAAATTGAAGGAGATTAATGAAAGGTAGAAGAACTTTGGAAAGGTGTGCGCTTCCCTAAGAGGTGTTGACTCCG